TTAGATTACGTGATTAGAAAGAGTGATACTGATACCAACTTGCTAAATGAAATAGTCTAGAAGCTCAGTGAAGTTAGATATGTTCCATGTTTAAAGAGAAATTTGACCTTGGTTTAGCTTGCAAGGTCGATATGCAAGTGACTACTTTCACAGTTGATTCGTAAATGTGACCAGAAGGGCAATGGTGATGGTTGGGGGAACCATTGAAGTCACTCTTTACCTGATCAATGAGATTGTTGGAATCATTGATGTAGCTAGAAAGAAGATTAATGCCGGTTTTTGGCACCCTAAGCTTGATCATGAGTAAAAAATGTATGAATTTTTTTCTTTCTAAGAACATACGTTTAAGGTTTATATAATTAGATTTTTATGAAGATTGTGTTTATGAAAAGCAATAGATTGCTACTTTCTCCAAAAGCAGGTCAAAAGTGAAGTCCAAAAAGCTGAAGTTAGTATGTACTGATATACGGGGTTCTACTCCAACTTAGTTTATTAAAAGTTCTCACTACTTTGTCACTTTCAGTGTTGATTAAATCAAAAATATATGGGTATATTTCTTAAAGCATAAATCTTATGTATTTATTTTGTTTAGTAAGTCGAAGGTCGTGGTTAAGAATGAGATAGGCTCAAGGTTGAAGTGTCATAAATCAGATAATGATGGTGAGTATTGTGATAAGTGGTTCATAAGTTATCGTGCTTAGGAAGAAATCAGGCATAAGTTCATTGTTTCAAGAATACCATAGCAGAATGATGTGGGTGAGCGCATGATTCTCTTCATTTCATAGTGACTTTATTGGTGTGGTAAGGCTCCGTGATATTTTTCCGTTCTCAAGTTTTTTCCATGTAAAATTTGTGTCCTTTTCTGGGATTTCTTGTTTGTATGCTCCTGTTTATTTTTTTTTTGTTCTGAACCTCTCGAATTTGCATTTTTATGCTATTTATGGGAAGCAAAAATTACCCTTCCAACATGAACTCAAAAAGCAAAATCGTGTGTGCACTATCAGTATAATTATGTGAATGGACACCACATCCAATTCTCATACCTCTCGAATGGATGAACATTAGCATGAATGATAGTCTTTCATGATAAAACTAAAGTGAATCATTTCCACCAACCACAGGCGGGAAACTTTTCAAAAAGGCTTGTACAACACCACAAATCCACTAAAAATAAATTTGTGCATATTGATTATTTTAAATGCTCAAACTAACGTCTAAAAATGTAGCACCAAGAAACTTTAAAAATGAATTTAAATTGTCTCGCTCTGAGAAGGGGGTAAATATTGTGAAAGATTTACAATTATTTTAAAAGACTAGCTTTTTTTTTAATATCAAACTGGACTCTGTCAAGCTACGCACACGTATTAGCCGGTCGCCTAGCCCATAAGATAGATTCACAAGATTCATCTTTTATGTAAGCCTAGAATACGAGTTGATAAGACGTTTACCTCTTAATGAATCATGGTAACACCATTTAAACACAGAGTCTATAGTCAAACAATCTTGCAGTCAAATACTCAAATGTATAATCTACAAAAATTATGTCTACCATTTAACATGACATCAAGGCCTTTTAAAAAAAATTAAAAATGAAAGCTCTTGTTATCATCATACTCGTAAAAGATAATGAGTTTAACACATGAATCAGATCCTCTACTTACAAAGATAGAATTAATAAAATTTGCAATGGAATATATTGTTAAATAAACTCAAATCATATGAAAACGATAAATCCAATTCTCTACAAACAGAGGTAGAGTCGATAATGACCATAACCCAAAGGATGCTTAAATAAACTCAATAACACCACTAAATACCTGATTCATCACAAGCAAGCAGAGCTTATAAGGTCCAAAATGACAAAATGGAACAATTCAAATACCAAAATCATAGCCACATTGGCAGAAATTTTCAACTAAAAGGGAATCTACCATAAAAGCTCTCCCTTCCCCCAAAACCCCAGCCCCAAAAAAATCCTGAAAGCATTTTAGGCATAAAGAATATACAAAAAAACTTAAGAAAAATTATAAAATCAACTAAACATTCAAATGAAAATTAACATTTAAAACAAAAAGAGCTAATTTTAGAGAGTGAATAATTTAAACTTAATAAGCTCACAGAGAGCTAACAATATATCTGGCGTATCTCTATGATCACTCAGAAAAATCTCATTCAAAAGAAAGTGACACATGTTCTCTAACCAAATTATTTTGCCACCAAATGACACCAACAAAATATGATTATGATTGGGACTCTTTCATGGGTAATTTATCATAAAATAAAATCATTAAATTACAAGCACGTTTAGGGCCCACAAATTATCTAATAGCACAAATCCTTTGAGCAATGAATCATAGAGTAACGTTGATATGGCAAAAAAAATTTTGTTAGTTAAATGAACATAAAATAAACTTCATAGATAAATCCTCCCCAAGTCTATAGATCAGTAGTTGCTAATGAGAATTTTTCTACCATGCTAGGTTGATCATCTTCTATGACTTAGTAGATCAAAGTATAAACGACAATGCAAGATGATAAAACCCCAATTAACTTGCTAGGAATGATACATATGACCCTGGCTCTATGAATTAGTAGCTTGCTAACGAGAATTTAAGCTAAAGGCGATAAATTTTTTAAGTTTAAAATCAAATTTGTCGCTACTATATGTTAAGCAATTAATAACCAACTATAATCGAAAGTTTTCTCTTGTCACCAGAGGAAGAATAACTAGCCAGAAGGACTTGCACCTATGAGAAACTTAGAACCAAATTATAAAATCCTTGCAAAATAGAAGAAAAATATTTGAGTAGTGTAATATCTAAAAAGTCTAATGTCTTCTAAAAATTTAACCCAGATTCACAAAATCACTTTAAAGAGAGCTGGACACAATCTTGTGGAGCCCATAATGCCAAAATGAAGCCATAAAAATAAAACTGTAAAAACGTTTTGTGAATAAGTGCCCTCGATGATGAATGATACATGAAATTCTGTAGGATTCTCTTTATCTAAGTTTCAATGAATAGAACAATCGAAGAATACAAGTTTTCCATTTAACTCTTAACAGGATGAATTGCACCCAGCATAATACAATCCATTCAAAAAAATCACTATGCAGTCAGAATACAATCTTGCTAGCACCATAAGACTATTCGGGCAGTTCAACTATGTAGAGAGAAAAAAAATACAACTTTAATATGTTAACAATAATAAATCATTTCCATTTTCATGTCCATTTGAGTAAAAAACCAAAAAACATTCCAAAAAGTCAACTGCAGCAATGAAGTGCAATAGACAAATACTATTAGCAAGTCCCACTAACCACGGGCATGTTAGGCTTAGCCTTATGTTTAACAGTTCACTGATTGCATGCAGCATATGCTCAGTATGAACAAAAGTATCACTAAAGTTAGTCCTTATCTGCTATCCATTAAAAGTTAGTACCTTTGAAAAATGTCCTCCTTGCATGCATCATCTTGAGAGAAGAGCCACTTTAAGTTGAAATCACATGACGCAAGAGATTCTTCCTGATTAGCGGCTTTTGATCTTTCATTTGAATCCACTTTTTGTGCACCTGCACTATCTTCATATTTCCTTTGGCCAAAAACCCAGTTCGGGCTTTTAAGCTGAATTTCACTGCATCAATACGTTTTAAGGATTAGCTTTCACAATCATGAATTCACATAACGCATGTTCATAATTTAAATATGCTTTATTAAGGTCATTATTGAGCATAAGCATGGTGGCAAACAGTAAGAAAGAAACTAAACTAAAAGGGATTGCAAAACTCATGGAGCTTGCTAAAGAAACAACAGAAATTGAGCAAGAGACATGGATTAGGAATGAGCAAATATCCTCAAAGCTCGCATGGGGCATAAGAAAGCACATTGACAAGAACTGGAAAACACATATGCACCAAAAACTCACAAGGACGATTGAGAGTATTGGAACCATGATGCTATATATTGTATATGCAAAATAAAAAAAGTAAAAAAAAAAAAAAATTCCGTCCTGCATGAGAGAATAAAAAAATTCCGTCCTGCATGAGAGAATAAGTTCATTGGTTCAGGCTTCAGTCAGTGATGTGTTGATCTTGCCTTCTGAAATACAACAATTTTGATTTGGCTTGAAGCATCCCTAACTCATGACGAGCACAATTGCAATCAATTTCATTATTTCTAGGAATAGCAAAGGCATTAAATTTCATGTGGCTTACCACAGAACAAAATTACCATAAGAAGCCTCAGAAGGTCATCCAACTGAACAAATAAAAAAGATAGAAGGAAGCAGCATTTTAACTTTATATAGCAAATTAAAGTGTCTCATCCTCCCTATAAACAATAGAGAAAAAAACAAAACATAAACATTGTAAAAAGTTCATGCAAGTGACAGCTATGGAGAATAGGAACTCATTTCCCCTCGTACATAAAATAGAAAAAATAATAATAATGATTTTTTTATAACTTACTATAGTAACAAATGTTTGAAAGCAAGCAAGGAGTAATGCTGAAAATGCTTCCAAAATGATTTGTGGAAGGACCAAGAGATCTGAGTCAATTGAGTTTTCTTTACATTCTGTTTCTTTTCCATCGGAGACTCATTCTGTAAATAGAAAACAGAATGAATCTATTTATCCGATGCATATTAGACAAGTTCCAGGATTGATAGGAGATTCATTACTAAACATTGTGTTTTTGTTGATGATAGAATAATGATATAATGGAAAAGAAACAGAATGTAGTGGCACGATCCAGTGCACAATATTATATCGAGCAATGACACAAGCCTTCAGTGAATTGATGTGGGTCTCCCAATTCTTGACTGAAATGAGTTTTAAGATGCCAGTTTCAACAAAGTTGTAGTGTTAAAATCAAACTGCAATTCATATTGTTTCAAACTATCTTCTATAAATGAACTAAACACATTGAGATAGGTTGTCATTATTTTATGAAAAGATTCCACAAAATTTGATTTCTATAGCTCATGTAAAGAATAGGGAACAACTAGAGGACATCTTCACAAACTTCCTTAATCGAGCCAGGGTCACTTAAATTTGTAACATGCTAGGCATGATAAATATCTATGCTCTAATTTGAGGGGGTGATAAGAAAAATAATAAATCTAATGATTGTATATTAAGAAGCTTGATTATAAGTAGCTTAATTATAAAAATCTAAAAAATGTATTTTTAATATTAGATTACGTGATTAGACAAGATCGAACTCAAGGATTTTCCTCTACTACAGATTTTACTAAACTATAGATATTGGAGAGTATGTAAAAATGCAACATATGCATTCAATTGAGAAATAAGAACGAAACAACTACTTTTTTCATATATGTATATGTGAGAGAGGAATTTCTTTAGAAGCAATGAATATGTAGCCTGTAACTTTTCAAATCTAGCCCTTCTGTAGGTCCTTCTTAATGCAATAACCCTTCAACACTCCCCCATAAACTGAAAGAAAGAGATCTATGATTCCAAGTTTGCTTAAAACATTTTTAAATTTATGATTGTTGAGCCCTTTATGGAATATGTTAGTAAGCTATCTTCTTGTTGAGACATATACAGTACAAATCAATCTACTTTCTAATTTTTTTCTATTTAAATTAGTAAATTCACATATTTGGTATGATCATATTATACAAAATTGTGAGCAATGCTAATAATAGATTAACACATTTATCATCACAGAACATCTTCATGAGTTTTTCACTTAACCCTAATATCATCTAGTTTGACCTTGATATAAAGAAGCTTACAGATTCCTTGAGCAATTGCCCCAAATTCAAATTTAGCATTAGATCTTAATACATCAGGTTATTTTTTTCAACATCAAGTTATGAGATTTCCTCCAAATAATGGATAATATCCTGAAGTGGATGGTCAATCTACAGATGATAAAGTGCATTATCGCATACCATGTTGGATACTTTAATTTATAAATATCCTCCTTTTTTATAGACTTCTTTACCTTTGAAAGTAGGATTCCTTGTGCTCATGCATGAACTGAAAAACAAGATTTACTATAATTGTGATGTTAGGTTGTGTGAGATAAATAGATTTAATTTTTCAACTAATGTTTGATATTGTTTGGGTTTACTTCAGTTCCTCTATCCATATCCAACTTCTGACACAACTCAATTGGAGTTTCACACAGCTTCCACTCCATTATTTTTGCATCTTTCTGTAAATTCATGACATGTTTTTGCTGGGAGAAAAAAAAAATTCCTTCTTCAGATTATGAAACTTCTATGAACAACAAATATTTGAGTTGATCTGACTCTTTGACTTCAAATTCTCTAGCAAATTTTTTCATAGATTTTCTTGATTTCATCACCTAAAACTAATATATCAATAACATAAACAATGATAATTAAGATAATTTATCTGAGTAGTGCTTTATGAAAAATGTATGATCTCTTTAGCTTTGTCTGTACCTAGCTCCCCTCAAAACTTTTGCAAGGGTTAAACTAGGCTCTTGAAAAATGTTTTATCCCATATAGTCCTATTTTATTTTAAAAACTTGTCCTTTATGCATGCAAATCCTAATGATGGATCAATATATACCTCTTTTTCAACATCCTCATCTACGAAAATATTTTTCACATCATATTGTTGTATATACCATTCAAGATAAGCAGCTACAAAAATCAGAAGGTAGATTGTATTCATTTTTTACAACAAGAGAAAAAAAAATTTCATAGTTAAATCTATGAGATTGAATTCATCCTTTGGCAACTAACTTTATCTTGTATCGTTCTGGACTCACATCGACTTCAAACTTTATAGAAAAAAATTCACTTAAACCCCATAAAGCTTTCCCTTTTGGTAAGTTTACAACCTCTCAAGTATGATTTTTATCCAGGGCATTCATCTTTTCTCTCATGATCCCCTCCCAACACTCATCTTCTAATGCCTCAAATAAGTTTTGTGATATGGCAATTAAGTTGGAGTTGATATTTGTACGAGAAACCTTATGTTCATGGAATTTCTTTTTTAAAAGATGTATAGAGAAGGGTCATGGAAAGATTATTATTACTTGATGAAGACTTTGAGTCTTGAGCTTGGGAATTCTAATATGGCTTATTCCTTTTAGTACAAACGTGGAGAGGCATTATGTTTGAATTTATAGAGATTTGTACAGTTGTCTAAGATAAATGATAAATATTTCATCAAATTTATCTTTCAATTAGACATCCTCCCATTGAAGATGAGACTGAATGAAGAAACTTTATTTTAATCAAAATTGATATTCGTTGAAGTAAGGAATATTTGTTTAATAGGACTACCTAAGTCATGTAAATGCAATCATCAATGAAGGTGATAAATCTCGCAACACCAGAAATATTGGAGATTTTGAAGGTTCCCCATGTATCAAAGTGAATTAAAACAAAAAAAAAAGGAAACGAGAATCGTTTTCAGGAAAATAACACAACGTTGTTTACAATTTTATAAATCTCACAACAAAAATCCTCACATTCATAAAAAAGAATGGAAACATATATTGAAGAGTTTTAAAATACGAGTAAAGTGTCAAAATAATCCCCGACAATTTATATAAGGTTGTTTTAGTCCCGGAGTTTATAGAAGTACCAAAATAAACCCCGGTTATTTTAAAATTGAGCTTCATGGGGACTATTTCAGCCCCAATTTAAAGATCTCAGGACAATTTTGACACATTTATAAACTCTGGGACTAAAACAATCCCATGAAAAAAATCGGCCACTATTTTGGCACTTTACTTTCTAAAACATAGATATTCTAGCCTATAATGTTCCCGGATAATGTCAGTATTATGGGTGAAAATGAATGAGCAAGGAAATTTATTTCGGTCCTCAAGTAGATATAATCTATTATTCTCTCTAGCTTGCCCAAATGTCTTCCCCATAATGCGGTCCTAAAATACACAATGATCGATAAAAAAGGTAACTTTGCAATTATGATCTTTGGTAATTTTATGGATTGACAAAAAAAAAAGTTGTAGGGTGACAAACTTATAATATGCTATCAAGGGTAAAAGTGGGAAAATTTTAGATAATTTCCTGTCTTGTAATAGTTAATAGAAAATCATCTGCCACTTTTTCTATTACTAGACAGGGTTTGTAAGTTTGAAAGTTATTTAAGAGATTTATCATGAGGTCAGTGGCACGTGAATCTAGGATCCAAGTTAGGAAAGGAGTATTTGAGGCTGTTCCAAAGAATAGAGAAAATTCATTAATTTGTCAATTTGTTTTGAGTCTATCTATTTTCATAAGGCGGGCGTGTCCTTTTTTTTTTACATTTTTTTCTTTCCATCATAACCTTCGTGCATTTCATGGAGTTTCTGGTATTTATATTTGGCGCAACATTTCTTCTAGCAATAATTACACGAGAGATTGCCTTTGCGAGAAGGCTTTTATCCTCTTTGGGAGAGAAATCTATGGCATCAAGTTCCCTGCCTTGGAGTTTATTGGCAGTCATAGTAGATATTTCGAAAATAGAATTACAGAACATTATTTCCTTTTTTATTTAGCAAGTACAAGAGTGAAAAGTCGTTTAGAGAAAAGAAGCTCTCTTTGCTTAAGATTTAAAATTTGAAAGTTGATTGAAGTCATTCTCAAGTCCTGCATGAAACTCAAATACACTCTCTTTGCACAAATTGTCTGATGATTATCACATTCTCACAACACCTCGTCTTAAGATATTGATAATAATCCAATTCAAGCTAATAAACATTCACAATATTAAAATACTCAGTAAAAAGAAGGTTACTTCGCTTGATGGGGGATTTTTTTAACTTGCAGATGACTGCAACAGCCTTGACATTTGAGTAGGAGTGTTTGACAGCATTTCAAAAATTCTTTTATGATAAATATGAACATATATATGTAGCCCCCAAATTTATGGCATCATGGTATTTCATAGTCATGTCATGATCGTGCAATCCATTTCTCCCCAAAACATGAAATTTCTTTCTTTCAGCTCATGAGATAAACCCTCAAAATTTTAAATCATTTTCTTTTATTTTAGAAAAAATCTTTATGATTTAGAACCGTTTCAGATAATTTTTCTCATCCAAGCAATATAAGACTTGAGGTCCGAAGTTCTCTTTAAGTCTGATTTTCAGTATTCATGAACGTCAATTCCTTAAAGGGAAGTAAAATAAATCAGAAATAATGAAGGGAACAAAAAATTATGAGTAAGAAGAGAAAGAGCAAGAAGAACAAAGGTCAAAAGCAGGTTAGCCTAATCTCACTTGGATACCATGTAAAAAAGAATTGGCTAGGAAATCTTAGATGTTCATTCCTTCAATGAGTATTTATATACAAAATTATACATAAAAAAGAATTAAATAATTACAATAATAAACACAAAACATTGCCCCTAGTTATCTACCATTTGATCACTTAAGGATTCCTGATTGGCTCCAAGTGAGCAATCTATAGGCTATTTTATCCATTTTCTTTATATGAATCCATGGGAGAGGTATTTCCTTATAATCAGTGAATTTGCAGCCTCTAACTTTCTACATCTAGCTCTTTTACTGATCCTTTTGATCCACTGGCCCTTCAACAGTTTTGTATCTTGCAATTAACATAAATGAAAAGATCAATATTTAGGCCCTTTCATACTTTGATTGATGTTTTTGGATGATTATCCATTGCTATGTGAAATGTAACGCAATTAAGAGGTCATAAATTGTCTAAGTGCAATTATTTTGTACTCAAGCACATAATTTTTTAATAATGATGGGTAAAGCATGTGTGGAAGATTCACCACCCCTCCCCTTCTCCCTCCTCTCAGCTGTGTGATCGCACCTATAGATTCGAATGAGTTCTCTAGTCTGTCTGTGACAGCTTGCAGCTTACGGGTGCAATCCCTCAAATTTTCTCAATAAAGGGGTAAATAGCATGTAACAACCCTTCTCATGCCTCCGATTGACGAGGAACTCCCATGTACTGGGTACAAACCCCTTCTTTAAATTAAAATATGTAAAGAAAAGGGGTTAATCATTAGAAACAACTAACAAAACAGCATAGGAAACACACTTACGCTGCATCTGGTGCCATTCCAGGATTTCCTGCACCACCACTAGCTTTTAAATCTTCATTGATCAGTCTCACATTCTTTATAAAACTACATGTTGTCTCCAATAATTTATCAAAGGATGTCAACTTCATCCGTTGAAAGTCTTCCTTGCAGGCTGATATTGGTGCAAGCTTCATGGCAGTCCCCTCCATGCAATTGCTATCCATGGGCACACTAAAATGACAACAGCAAATGTCAGCCTCCAGATAAAATCTACAATTAAATACTAGATAGACATAAATATCATTCATAAGAAGCTCCCTAATCAACAATAAAGAAAAAGTACAATAATTTAAGAAAGTTTTGAGATATCCATGTAGGCACTTGCCTGTGGTCAGAGCCTTCATCGGTCCCTGAAACATGAAGATAATAGTCCGAGTCCAACTCCCATAGGGCTGGTTTCCCTTCTTCAGGTTGGAAGTGACCAAGAAATCTATAAAGATCACAAGAGAATGTAAAGCAAGGTCAGGAATATTTACTTCATTGGGAAAAACAACAGACTGATGCATTAGAAGAACGTCCAAGCTGAATCTTTTTGAAGGAGAGAACTGTGTCAATGTAATACTAAGCATGAATGTATATGATCAGTGAAAATTTAAGAGAGCTGAGAGCGGTACAAGTTTATTGCATCTTGCTTTTCACCATCAGTGTACGTGTTGCTATAGTATCTTTTTATGGACTTCAAAAATTCACGAGATTGGGTAGTTGCCCTCCACTTGCCTTGCCTTTCAGGGAATACCTAGAAAAAATATAAATAATGCCTAAAAAAATTATGAATATAAGCTAGCAGCTTAGAGAATCAGAACTGCTTAGAGGAACCCACAGTGTTATGAGCAGCAGAACCGCCATATTGGTGAGCAAGCGCATCACCCATGCTCTGGTACATATCCATTAATGCTGCAGCAAGGCTGCTGTCTGGGTCCACTTTTGGCGCATCTGCCAAACCTATTGCATGAAGCTGGTGCCCCAAAGCTGCAAGACCATAAGCATACTGTGCAACATTTGTACGGTCCAAACAGTCAATGCAATTTGTTCGCAAAACACCACTTTGATAACGAGGACCATTATCAACCCATAGCTGCTTCAGATTCTCCCTGTCACAAGCAGCCAGATAATTTAATGCCTCAGTATTAGCAGCCAACCTTAATAGATCTCCTGCACTGGCTCTAAATTCACCAAGCGAGGCATCTCTGCATTTAGAATGAAATTTAAAACTTAAATGAAAAAAAAAAACTTTAAATCATTATTAGTAGGTCAAAAAATCAAGAATACATGAATGACTTTTCTATGTAGGTGTCTTTTATGTACCGTGAAAAAAATTACTGCAAATCTTTCATTCTTTTCTATATTTATTAACAGACACAGTGGAACAAACATTTTTTTACCGCTGGAACATATACAAAGTATATATACTTTCTGTTATTATTCAGTAAAACCAAACATTGAATTTGAGAAAATAAGAAAAGACGCCATATATTCATCTCGTGAAATTAAATATTAAAGTCTACATAGAAGTGAGAACATCATGACTTGACCAATACAAAGAATAAGCAAACGAAGATAAGTACAAAAGGACAACTATGACAACAATCGACGCTTAATAAGAAATTCCAAATCTCCCTCCCTTGATTAAAACAACCAAAGATAGCACTAAGCAGCAAAAATTTGTATTTTTGATGAATAGCAGCATAGATGCTGACTATTTATAGACCCTAAGGTTCCTGCACAAATATACAGCACAGCAAACCTTGGGGAGTAAATAAAATGTCCGCTTTCAAATTCCAAAGCAACGGACATACAAATGCAGAATTTTTTCCAGACATTATACAGTTGCAGAATATACGGTTAGGGTGATCGCAATCAGCCAAGAAAATGCAGCCCTCCTAGAGACCAAAGCAACAGTGTCATGAGGCCTAATTCAATCCAATTATTAATGAAATATGTAGCTGCCAACGATTAGAAAAGTAAAAATGCCCTTATGCTTTTCAATTAGTAAGTATTTTATAGTTTTCCACATAAATTTATGGCTGCATTCCAAATATTCTGTTCTCAACTTCGTCTAAGAACAATGATGCTATATGAACATAACTTTTTATTTCTAGGATATTCCTAACTCTAGAGACAACGTCATAGAGCTCATGGTGAAACATAAACTTATAGCAACTTCTAGGCCTTCTATGATAAGCCAACCATATTTTATATTCAACAAAAAGTTGTCTCATGGATTCCCAATCTGCTGCAAAAATATGTTCTTACAAGTAAAAGTGGTAGAACAACTCGATCTAGATTTCATAACCATTTGTGATTTATATATTATCAAATATTAGGAGGTAAGATACAACTATCTTGTTTAAACTAACAGATTGACTAAATATATTCCACGCCCCACATTTAGATCCATCTGACACACCTCAATAAAGTGGGCACCAAACATTCTAGCCAGCTCTTTTGTGAGAGATGTATGCCTATAACGAAGGAGCTCCTGCATCCCGAATCGTGGGATCGGAAGCGGCATAGAATCCCATCCCACTACAGCCCTGATAGTAGGATTTCCACGAATGCGGACACCACTTGATTGTGGAATTCCGCAATCCCGGGGGATTTTGCAATCCCACAGAATCATCACTCCGCAATCAAGGGATGGACAACCACCATATATTTTGTCCCATTCGCAACTTCATGGGGATTTTTATATTTTATGGCTTATTATCTATTTCGTTATTTCTAATTATGGTTATTTTCTATTACAAGAGTGTGTTATTTTTTCTATTTTTTTAGGACTTAACTTTGTTCTGTGTGATTTGGAGACTGTAATATCTGATTTCTGCCATAAGGAGTGTTGTACCCTCTTTCTTTCACAAGTAAGGTGTATGTAGCTTGGTTAAGAATAGATAGCAGAACCTCCTCATCATTTCTTGGTTCATTCTATTGTTTTTAGCCAGAAGCCATCACACGGCTCTGAGTTGTTGTCCCACAACATATTTTTTTGTCCTCATCCATCTCTCACACTAAAACTCTCTTAACCCATTTCCTAACATTTCTACACCTATTAGATGCCCTAGTTTATCGTTATCGCATATCAAAGCCCGACAACTAAACTTTTCGGAATTTGTCGTTTTTACTCCCAAACTAAAATCCATACAACTAAACATAACTTCTCCCCACAAAAAAGTAAAAAAAAAAATAAGAAAACCCACATCATCCACCTAACCCTAAACCATCAATTTTTCTTAGCCAAAATTTTAATTGAAAGAAAAAGATGACGTACCACCAAGAAGAAAGCTTCAATAAGGTGTTGAGAAGTTCACAATGGATGATATGATTTAGGAAATCCTATTTTTATAACAAAGGCTAGCCTATTTGAAAGGAGACGATATGGAGAAATCACACAACAACAATGGTGAGCCTCAAGAGTTGAAAAGTTGATGTCACATTGATTCGACATTAAATATGAGAGAGGATGATTTTGGAGTGAACATTGATTTAACGGTTTTAAATGTTCGCATAGATCTAGACAAGTTCATTGAGTGACTTCAAACAGTAGAATGGGTCTTTGAGTACAAGAACGCCCCATCTGACTTAAGGGTAAAGCCGCCGTTAAATTAAAAAAAATTATCCATATAGTGAGAAACTTTGAAGCGCCTCCACGTAAGGGAAAAATCAAAATCATTACTTGGTCCAAAATAAAAAAGGAGACTTCACCACTTCTACCATTGCAAATACCTTCCAACACATTATAGATACATGAAATGTTCTTGAGACTTCACCACTTACAACAGAAAGATCTCTCAATATAGAAGTACACCTCTAAGTTTGAGGAGCCTATGTTGAAATATGAACTAGCGAAACCCAAGGAGAGCAACATAGCCAAATATCTGAAGAAATTGAGATTGTCCATTGGCAATGTGGTACAGTTATAGCCCTATTGAATATTAAAGGATGTTTATACCTTAGCATTGAAAGTGGAGAAGCAACAATGTTAACAAGTGAGCCCACACCTTACACACAGAACTCAACCCTGGGATCAGTCAATAAAAATACACTTATTGAAGCGTCCGAACTTCTCCCGTGGAGAAGCCAGTCTATAGTGAATAAATGGTGGAATTCACTAGCAATCCCAAATATATCTTAGCCAAGAAATGCTTTGGGTCACGTCTTTGAACACAGTGCATCTGATTGTCCAAACAAAATAGTGATCTCTTTCACTAAGCAAAGAGCAGTTGAAGAAATGAATAATGACACAGAAGAAAAAAAGGATATCAAAGGAGGGTATCAGCTTCCAGCCGACGAGGGAGAAGTACTAGTGATTTGACGGAACTTTCAGACTGAGCCCACAAAGAGAAATGTGTGCAATCTCATTGTAGATGAAGATAGTGCAAAAATGTGATATCAACATAAATGTCGATAAGTTGAACCTCACTATTCAAATATACTCTCATTCATATTCCATGACTTGATTGAAGAAAGAGAATATGATCGATCAAAATTAACAAGAGAATTTTTATAATATTTGCAGAATTTTTATATTCCATGACTTGATTGATTTGACAAAACTTTCAGACAGATTTTTGCCTTTTCAGACTTGTTTCATATTTCTTCATTTCTAAATAGTATTTTCTACTAGGAGCATATTTATGTGTTTGTTTTTTTTTTCTTTTTTTTTTAGTACTTTAACTTTATTTTGTGTGATTTGCATACTATAATCTCAGATTTTTATCCTGAGAAGTATTTTATTATCTTTCTTTTACAGGTAGTATGTTTGTCGTTTGTTCAGAAATATATGGTGGAATCTCCTCACCGTGTATACCTCGCTTTTCATGGTTTTCTCCATTGTTTTCAGTCGGACAACCGTCAAATAGCTTTAATTTTGCTGTTCCACAAACAAATTTCTTTGTTCTCTCGTTTATTTCTCATCTTACAACTCTCCTAACCCATTTCCCAACATTCTCACATCGACTAGTTGCCCTAGTTCGATGTCAATCAATTCAAAGCTTTAGAAGATAGATTGGAATGCAAATAAAAAACTAACCAAATACTTTGTGCTCATGTTGTGAAAACTTTATTTTGGTTTTAAATTTCTCAAAAGTGGCCTCATGGTTAATTACTCTCCCAATCGTGAGAGAGAATTTTTTCTTAAGCTAGATGGTAAATATTGGATGCTTAGCTTATAATAGCAACTGTTTGGCTTTAGGATAAAATAAATTTACTATTGAAAGCTTAGAGTAAATGCGGGGAGATTATGATGGACCTAATCAATATCTTATGATTATATCGTCATGAGTTATAATGGATCTTAATCTGCCTAGTCTACGAAGAAATTAGAACCAACATGACTTAATAATTTTTTATAACAATCACGGGTTGTGTCATCAAAATTGACCTCAAAGACTTGAAGAAATGTTTGGTTAAGAGAATATTTTTAAATTAACCCTAGCAAACATAAGGCTTTGTATACTATCAAAAGCAGTCTAAAAGTCACTGCTTGGGGGACTTGGTCCATAAGAAATTTATAAATTTTGGTCAAGATTATAATTTAATTGAATCATTTTTTTTGTGGCGAATGTCAAAGGTCTTCAATCATAAAATACCTATTGTGGTGTCATTTGATGGAAAAATCATAAGGCTAAAGGATACGTATGATGTCTCTATTCATATAAGATATTTTTAGAGTGGCCATAGAAGTACGCATAATATGAATTTGACTTTGTGATCTAAAGTTATCTTACGAAATACGCTTCTCTTCAGTGTTTTTTTTAATATCTTATAATTTTGTTGACGCTTCTGCATCTATGTCTTGATTTAAATCCAAAAATAATTTATATTGAGATTTGGGGGTATTTTGAAAATAAAATCTCCTTCGATTGAAATTGACTATGTCAACACAATCATTACTAAGGTAGGGATTGTTTAAAGCATTCATATTTTTAACTTGAGTACTAAATTTTTAAAAATTGCACCCTCACCATCCCCGCCATAAAATACGTATCGTGGTGTCATTTGATGGCAAAATCATAAGGCTAAAGGATACGTATGATGTCTCTATTGATCATAGAAGTACGCCTAATATGAATTTGACTTTGTGATCTAAAGTTATTTTACGAGATACCCTTCTCTTCAATATTTTTTTTAATATCTTATAATTTTGTTGATGCCTCTGCATCTATGTATTGATTTAAATCCAAAATAATTTATATTGAGATTTTGGGGTATTTTAAAAATAAAGTCTCATTCGATTGAAATTGACTATGTCAACACAATCATTACTAAAGTAGGGATTGTTTAAGCGTTCATATTTTTAACTTGAGTACTCAATTTTTAAAAATTGCACCCTGACCATCCCCACCCATAAAATACCTATTGTGGTGTCATTTGATGGCAAAATCATAAGGCTAAAGGATACGTATGATGTCTTTATTGATATGAGATATTTTTAGAGTGACCATAGAAGTACGCCTAATATGAATTTGACTTTGTGATCTAAAGTTATCTTACGAGATACACTTCTCTTCAATGTTTTTTTAATATCTTATAATTTTGTTGATAATTTTGTATCTATGTCTTGATTTAAATCCAAAATAATTTATATTGAGATTTGGGGGTATTTTGAAAATAAAGTCTCCTTCGATTGAAATTGATATGTCAATACAATCATTTCTAAGTTAAGGATTGTTTAAAGCGTTCATATTTTTAACTTGAGTACAACCCAACCCCCCTTGCTCCAGCAAGAAAATAAAAATTTGATGTATGATGATTATAAGCATCATAAGGGTAGAATATTTGAAGCATCTATATTTGAAATGAAAGCTTAAAAGCTTGGTTTTTAAAGTGGGCCACTTGTTTTATGATCTGTAATCATAAGGAAATCTAAATAAACTATCAATTTTGCGTGAAAGGATACAGAGGATTGGAAGCACTGATTTGCACTACTTAAGTACACTTAAACGTTTATTGCATACAGAGGATCAAGACAGAGACTAGAACATATGGTTATGCTTTATAGGCATGGCGCTGAGTTATTACATTTTGAAAATAAGTTTTTTTATACAAAACATTAAAGGTCATATGCAAATGAAAGAAAAAATATTTAGAAAAATGCTGCATTTGAGCAACTGATTCCCAATCAGTGATGATGAGTTTGTTAAATTAAAACAGGAAAGAAGAAATTTGAATCATTCTTTGAAGCAAATCTAGTTGATTCAAGCATTTGTGACGTGGAGAATTGAACTTGAAAAAACCGAAATTTACACCCTGCCCTATAAGCAAGGAAAATCATTTGAGATTATGCAATTATACTATCAAGCCATATTTTGTTCCCTCTTAGTTAAGCATAAGGCACAACAAAGGGAAATCCAATCAAATCTATTTCTCACTAACACAAACTCACTTCACCAGTCATAACTGAGTGGGCAGAAAATTTGTCTGTCAAGATTGTCACGAATCACAAAATACACTTTCATAATCATTCAAATAAATTCTCAGCATAATTGTCAAAAAGAAAGCATGCATTTAATTTAGTCAAAAAAACTATGGAGTTCCTAAGAACTTTCATCAAAGTTTTACAAAATAGAAGTTAACTTATAACAAATCTTGTTTATTTCATTCAAAATTGTATATTTAAAACTTTTAAAATAAGGTCAATTAGGTCATCGGCTATACTCGCACAAGTTCATTTGTTTTCTATTTTTTTATTTCTATTTTTTTTCTTTTTTGAATAAAAAATAATCAATATAATACCTGGTAAGCTAAAAGCTCAATTGGATAAACAATTCTTCTACAAGATTTAAAATGCTAGAAAAAATGAATAATAATATGCATGATCGTCATTTGAACAAATATGAGCGCATTTAATCATAAACATGATTATTCTAGTACATAAATTTTAAATCATAATAAACTTTTATATTCACTTACAAGTAAAAAAAGATTATAAACAGTAACTATGCATGTCTGCAAATAAAAAAATGCATCATTTAAATGTATGATTTACTTTTTATATAATTTCTTTTCATTCATTCCTGTCCAGAGGATTGAAACTGGCATGTAATGCTTAAAGACAATGGCACATTAATAACATAGGCCGACACATAACTCTCTGAGTAACCACATATCATTAAGCAAAAGGATGGACAAACTTCTAAAAATGATCAGACTAGTCAGTTATTAATTGACAGTACGAAAATTGTACAAAAGAGTTGCAACCATGACCAAGATTGCCTCTACGACCACCGCATCCACTACAACTATGGCCTCGGCTTGCTCTAATTGCAACAGCAATATGCACACAATCAAAAGAGAGGAATGATGACTAGGATACACAATGACTCTTCAATCTAGAAAGCTTAATCAGCATTATCTCAACTATTTGGGCAAATTTTATGAATCTTTATCTTCCATCCCTGTTGAGTAATGCATGAGAATTTAAACATTTTTTTTCCTCATTTTGAATAACTGCTATATCTATATTACCTTAGATCCACTCTAGCCCCTTCCAAAAATTTTGAAATTAATTTTATCTATCTATTTAATCGGTTCATATTTCAACATGAATCACTTTACAAATTGAATCGACAAAAAAAAACACTAGTGATTACAATGAATTTTAAAAATGCCTTGCCAAATCCCACACAAAAGAATAGATGGAATTTCAAGTTAATGCACCATATTAACATTTAAAAGTAAAGGTGATAGAATTACAATCAAATTGGTTATAATGCCAAATAATTTTAAAACAGCTATCAAACCCAACTTTGTATATTAGTATTGAGTTTTGACATTATGAGCTATATGTGTTAGTACAAACGGCAGAGGTGCTAGCAACAAACAGTTAGAAAAGTAATCGTTCAAGCCACCTCTATTTAGTGACTATAATGTGCATACCTATCATAACAGCTACTAGGCCAATCTTTCAAGCTGCTAAATATTTATAGATTATTAAGCCTTACCTTCCACTGCTTGATCTAGTTTTCTGAGTTGACCTTTTGACTCTGACAGGTTTTCCACTATAGTAGAAGCCCGTCAAATCAAGTGCTTGACTTGCCACAGCGCCTAGAACTGCCAAAACATTGGCAGATTTGCTAATGAAGACAAAAAATATTAATGTCAGCTTTCAGCAAAATTCCATTTACCCGGAGCTATGCAAGAAATAGAACCTTTTGGCAAATTTATGGAAATCCCAATGAATAAAGTTCAATTGGCCTTCCTCAGGGAGAATCTGATTAAGATATCCAACAGCATTTGTAAACTCACGACGCAGCATCATTTCTCTAGGTCTTTTCTCAACTGTCTGCATCAATGCATATGAGAGTTCATAAGTAACAGGATTCTAAAAGAGGATAATTTAACATGAAAATAATAGAAACCAGGCACAGGCAGTGAATTATCAGGACAAAACTGCACTACGGTACATATTACTCGAATGCAAGGTGACACTAGTAGCAAAACATACTGTCTGCACTTCTATTGTTGAACAAACTATAGCCAATCATTAAAAGGTTAAAACCACAGCAAACTTGCTTTGGATGCAAGACCAAATTGCTAACAACGATTAATGAATTACAAGGTAAAAAATGTTGATTCACATAGGTTTTTGAATAAATGGAGACAAAACTCGGGATTCTTATGGAATTCTTGATTGTTGAACAAATTAATCATCACACTTGAGAGAAAGATGATGCAAAGCCAAAGCACATAAGTCAATTATGAACCTAGTTATTTAAGAAACAAAAATTGATAATTCAGTTATTTTAGAATTTTATGAAGGCTCAATATTTCATAAGGCATGCATAATTTTCTGGATGAATTGTTTTAAAAATAAAATGGCACAAAAAATGTGTAAGAAACAGGCTCTCTGCTAAAAAATGGATTTAGAGAACACAATAAAAAAAAAAACCCAGAACATTGAATATGATCCTCAACAGAATTTGAAGATTCAGTGATGATTAGTTATAAGCAACCCTGACATGAACTGGCTTTAGAAAAAATAGTAGTAATAACAGGAATAACATATGCCTTCTACAGTTTTAAATATACAGGAATTTGACAACGGAGCACCATGCATGGGACACCCTCACGTAAAACCAAAAAAAAAAATTTCTTGACATTTGACCTCTAAAACCAAACATCTGAACAACTTCATTTTTCACAAACACCCAATTAAACAACATAATTCGAAAGCCAGAATTGCAAAGTATAGAACATATACCATGGATATACATAATTTTTAGTTTCATAAAACATAAATGTTTGGAAATATCAAATATGAAATGCTTTCAGGCAAGCTTAAGAGGCAGAAGAGCTTTTTTTAACTTCATCTCAGAACACACTATGTACTTGAAGTAAATCTATCAGTTGTATAAACTATCTCAGCAACATAAGGCATCACAAAGAAAACTTTGGCTCTGACAATTTAAGTCAGTCTGATTTTTGCTTCTTCTCAAATCATCCATTTTGTGTAATAACTAAAAAAAAAAAATGAATCATTACGTCAACTCAACAGAAATGACGAGAGGTTCCATTAATAGGACATGAAGGGGGGACGAGGGTTTTCAATGGGAGCAACTGTCAAACGAGAAGTGATATCGAGTGAGCAAGAACGAGAAAGGGAGATCAAGCACAATCGACGTACAAACAGTAGACGAACAACACATGCAGTACAATGTGTGACATCAGCTGTGGGAGTCAACTTGTGTGCGGGAGACGACATTTTGCACGAGTCAAGAAAGGAACCATCTATAACATCTAGTTTTAGTTACCTAGGAGGAGGGGAAATAAATAATCGAAGAAGATGAGGTGAGGAGTCGGGCAGCCGAACAAAGGGGAGAGGTAGCGAGGGGCTTGGAAGCCAAACAAACGAGCTCGCTGTTTAAATCAACGCGAGAGACGGGAGCTCTCGTGTGTGTACTTAGAGAGCAGAGGAATGAAGGAGGAGGTTTTGTGCGTTTTATTACCCGGAAAAGCGATGCAGCGGCCCCGTGCACTATCCTCGAGGGAAAAAGAGGATAGCAACATTGGTGCTTCGAGCTGCGACGTCAACCAGGAGGGAGCCGAAGCCAAATCTCCCAAGTCGTGGGAAAGCAGAGAGGACGGCGAGCGACTTAGGTGCAAAAGAAAAAAGACGAGGTTGAAACGAGCCAGTTGCGGGAAAGGAGTTCGACCAGTGCTCTATGTTGAATACAAGTCGAGTATTGCACGCAACCATGCGAGAAAAAGAGCAGTGCGTGCGTGGAAAGGGTTTTTTTTTACTGAGGGTTATATTACAGTTGTGTTTTAATAATTTTAATATTTGTTTATACTATATATATACCAAGGGCTAATATATTACAAAGGAGTGGTACAAAAAAGATTGGATGAGAGGGTCGAAGTAAGAACCTAAAGCACCCGATATACAACACACACCAAAATCTTCAAAAAAGTACATGTATACCCAAAACTATAATTATAAACTAGGCATGTAATCTCCATGCCAGAGTCTCCAAACAAAGCAAAATTCACAAGCCATTTGGAAGTAGTAGTTGGATCAGTGAGAGCTATAAATGACAAATATATGGAAAATATACTTGTTGAGATCTTCAAAACTCTAATAGGGAGTTTTCTTCCTACGCAAAATTCACAAGCCATTTCAATTGGGGAACCCCCCAAATGCATGTGTAGTTTGGCCGAAAGACGACGGCGCAGAGCCAAAACAGATGGAAGATATACTTGTTGCACCAAGAACTGGAAGAAATAGAGAACGAAAAGATGGAGTAATTGATCTACCAAGAAAGGACCCATGAAAACACTTGAAAAATTCGCATATCCAAACAGATGATGGGAGCTTGAATACGACCCAATGTATTCTTATCTCTTACCTCTAATTCTAGGTAGGGAGCTTGCTAACAAATGGTTAAATTTTCATCATTACTCAAAGCAACCAAGGTATCATCCATTAAGTTCCTGAGTTCTAGTAGGCCTTTATTATTCTTCTTCTTCCTAGAAGTGTAAACTCGTTAATTCTCATCCGAAGACTGACTCATCTGATCAGTGTATTGGTCCAAAAATTGTCGGACATGTGTAGGTTGTTGCACAACAGGATCCCTTTATACCTAATTGACATTAAAAACTTGTTCGATCTGATCAGGTGGTAGGGTTGCAATAAAATGCTCACCTAGGGTAGAATTTTGGGCTTGAAGTTGGGGCAATGTCTCCTCATCCACTACCAACTGAGGTTCCACGGGAGGTAGAATAAGTGAGCAATCCCCCTCAAGGACAAAAAGAGAAGGCCTCAAAGGCTCCTCCACAGGTGAAGAAGTAGTCCCCTCAATGGCAATTAAACAAGACACCAACTTCTGTCTTGTGGTAATTTCCTTCACAGGTGGAGTAGAAGTGTCCAGAGCAGTGGAATTAGACACATCCTTCTGCAGTTGAGCTTTAGGTATCAATTTAGGGTGGAGTCTGTGGCATTTGTCAAGGATATGCCCAAACATCTTGCAATGAGTACAATAAAAGGGTATATGTTCCATGACAATTTGTTGCCAATATCATTTATGTGTTGTGGTAATTTCCTTCACAGGTGGAGTAGACTTGTCCAGAGCAGTGGGGTTAGACACATCTTTTTGCAGTTAAGCTTTAGGTTTCAAGTTAGGGTGGAGCCCGTGGCATTTGTCAAGGGTATGCCCAAATATCTTACAAGAGGTACAATAAAAAGATCTATGTTCCATGACAATTTGTTGTCAATATCATTTATGTGTTGTGCCCAGCAAGACTTCTGCAATATCAGATAAAGTAATATCTCTTTCCACAAGTATTTGGGCAACAGAAGACCTGGTTAGATTGAAGGTGGGTAGATCTAGCTTCATAGGATTCTCAAGTATGACCTCAATAGAGTAGAGATAATAATGATTAAATATATGCAATTTGAGACAACGTAAACAAAACCATACTGGTACAGTGGGAGGTTCATGATTTGGGTCAAAATCAGGAGACCACTTGAGCAACTTCATTGACTTGTCTGCAATGTTAAGATATTTCCTAGAGAAAATCCGAGCAAATTCTTCAGTCATGGTTAACTGAATCAACACATGTCTCCCATCAAGAAGTCTCACTTTTCACTTTCCTACTAATTTGAAATTTTCAAAACTCTTTCTGATAACTTCCATTTAGGGGTGCCCAAACAGAAACTTTCCAATGAGAATGAACTTGTATTTCTCACCCAAAGTTGAAATTTCCAAATCAGAGAAAAAATGAGTTGTTTTCTCATCCTTCCTACTCGCCTACTTAGCAAAGGGGCAGTCATATGTATCATCACGACATTCCTCATAACTCGACGAGAAAACAACAACCGACTCCACGACATAGTTACCCAGCATGTGGGCGAAAGAGACTTTATAGGGTTCAGCCAAAAAAGGAGGGAGCGCACCCATCGAAGAAGGGAAAACCTGAACTTGCTACGACGCTCCCCTTCCCTTCTTCCTCGAGTAAGACGAGGAGCCGAGAACAGCGTGAGGCTAGGGCTCAACAAGGAGATGAAAGAAGCGACGCGATCCCCCTCCCTTCATCTTCGAGGACGATGAGTCGACGAACAGCTGCAGTTACCCGACCCGCCCAGAGAAAATCCTAGCAGAGCGACAATGGACATCGTGGTTTGTGTATGTGTGTGTGTGTGTGTGTGTGTGTGTGTGTGTGTGTGTGTGTGTGTATATATAGATCCATCCAAGAAGCTTGTGAATCTATTTGCCTTGAAGTCAGTTTATTGGGCATTTGTTTGTCAAGTGGGGTAGTTTGCTGCAGTGAGCTGAACGTGAGCAATGGATTTGACATTTGACATTAGAAATTTGAGGGAGTGAGGGATAGGACCTTCAGCCATTTCCGGTTGGGCTTGTGAAGCTTCTTGGTTTGTGTAGGAAGAAGATGCTGACATTTTAGGGTAGGTTAGAGAGCAGATTTTGAAAAGAAGGGGTTTAGGGAGAGGGATTGAGGAGAGAATCTGATATCTCTGATACCATAAAAGGTTTACCGTTGCATTGAAGAACCTCCGAAGCTCATACAGGAGAACAGGGAAGCGCCAAAATGCATTTGAAATTGTTTCAGGGTATATTTGGTTGTATTTAAAATAAATTCATTTCAGAAATGATCAGCAGAAGGAATGTAATGTTTTTTGAATCAAGAAACTTAATTTTAGCTAGTGTACTTATAAATATATATATATATATATAT